ACACACGTATATATATATATATATATACATATATTTATATAGAGGGAGATACACATGTTTACACATAACCGACCTACCTACCTACCTACTTACCTACCTACCTACCTACCTACCTACCTGCCTGCCTACCTACCTGCCTACATACCTACATACGTACAAGATCATACAAGCATACATGCATACACATACACACACATACATACACATACTTACACATCCATACACATACATACACGCATGCATACATACAGCCTTACAGAGTTATGCATATTAGTTATGTAGGGCTCTCCCTCTATCGATGATCAGTTGCAGTATATGTCTATATAAACCGTCGGTAAGTATGTATGTATGCAGGCATGCAGGCATGGGGATGTGTACGTATGGTTTGTGACTACATACATGCATATGCATGAGCGTACATGAGTAGGTGTGTGTGTGTGTGCGTGTGTGTGAGAGCGCACTTCTGCGTGTATGCATGTCCGTATACATATGTGTTCACAGACATACACACTCACACACACACACACGCATTACATGTATTCCTGCATACATACTTGGATACACCTGCTTGTATGTGTGTGCATCTATATAATTACACATACCAACAGATAGAGGCGCAATACATGAACCTATGAGAGCGACGCAGGGAAATATGTACGCATGCGCTTTCAAACAGATATTGAGGTAGGAAGTGATAGAGATGACACGCGAAACTTCAACCCCAAACCCTCCGCTGGTACAGTTACACCCTAAACCTCAAACCCTAAGCTCTAGATGGGGGTTTCCGAAAATAGGGGACACTAATATAGTACCCTAAATAGTAGGATCCGTAGTACAAGGACCCCAACCTAAGGTACCCCTAAGTTTCGGAAACTTCCAGACTAAACCCTAAACCCTAAACCCTAAACCCTAAACCCTAAACCCTAAACCCTAAACTCCTAAACCCTAAACCCTAAACCCCTAAACCCTAAACCCTGATGAGGCCGACGAGACGGAAGAGGAGGAGTTCTCCAGTGAAGGTTAATCGCTTGAAAAAGGCATGAGACGTGCGGCTGAGATTTCTGTCTGAAGACCTAGGATACCGTGGGATTACACTGTTCAGTTTGGGGTTTAGGATGGATGGTTGAAGATTGAAAAAAAAAACCCTAAGCCCTGAACCCTAAACCCCTAAACCCTAAACCGAGTGCTCAACGCATTCAGGGTCTGGTGTGTAGGGTGGCTCTCAGCTGTAGGGCTTGGGGAACCAGCGGCCGATGCATCACTCAGTTTAGGGTTTAGGGTTTAGGGGTCCATCTTAGTCTAAGTGATGCCTCTAAGAGGACGTCCTGAAAAATTGGGTTGCAACACTAAGCCCCAAACTTTATTATTTTGTTGTAAATGCGACATCCTGGCTGTTGGGATAGTGCCCCAAACTTTAAGCCCGTACATGGTCATAGCCCTAAGCCCTAAGCCCTAAACCCTTTCCCCTACTTAAAGGATCATGGGACTTAGTAACTAAGGTTATTATTAGGATAACTATACTTATAGCTACTTATAATGAGCCTCCAAGTATATGGTCATAATGGGACAGCAGCCAATTATGGGTTTTCCAGACCTTGGCCTCCTCTCGGTAGGGATCCTTCTCTTTGGGGGTTTAGGGCTTTAGGGCTTTAGGGTTTTTAGGGTTTCGGGTTTGAGGGTTTTAGGGGCTTTAGTGCCAAACTTTAGCGTTTGAATGGTTTTTAGGGCTTTCAGGGTTCAGGGTATTTCTGAAGCTCCCAAAGTGTGTATTGGAAGAGTTGTCTGTAAGCGCACATCGTTCTTTGCACCAACCCTAAACCCTAAACCCTAACCCTAAACCCTGAACCCTAAACCCTAAACCGCTTGTCAAGCAGGACGTTGTCACCGCGGTCAGGTCGTCAAGATGCGGCTCTAGGTTTGAACCGGGTTTAGGGTTTAGGGTTTAGGGTTTGGGGTTTAGGGTTTGGGGTTTAGGGTTTAGGGTTTGGGGTTTAGGGTTTGGGGTTTAGGGTTTAGAGTTTAAGCTACCCATAACAGGCCAATCAGCCTCCGAGATTCCTCTTCTGATGTGGCATGTGAGGGCATGAACCTCTGGTATGTAGGCCTGCATGAGCAAGCTTTTGGGTTTAGGGTTTAGGGTTTAGGGTTTAGGGTTTAGGGTTTAGGGTTTAGGGTTTAGGGTTGTGAACATCACAGCTGAATACCGATATCCGACGGCCTACAGCATACAAAGCATTGCTCTACTTCTTGCCAACTCTCATGACCGCCCACTGGCCTGGGTCAAGCTGATCTTTATTGCGCATGATGCACCCATAAACTCATAGCATGTCTGGGGCAGTTGGTGCATTCTCAGAAATCTCCTGACAAATGCTAGAACCTAGCCGTTTATATCGTACTTGGTAAAGACAAGACCTACTGTAGGGTCGTTTGAGCAAGTGCCCAAGCAAGCAGCGGTACAAAAGCTCCTACCAAGCTTGTCGGTGAGTGTTGTGAATTGCTTAGCGCACAAGTCGCAAATTGCGCATGGTTTCAGCCGGAATGTTCGGCTGCAGGCAGGAGAATCGGTACGCTGTTGGCTAAGACTTGTCCATTCTTTCGATGCCCGGCAGGGCGCATTTGCAGCCACTGGAGTAGTGCCAGCACCGCTTGCGAAATCGTGATACCCAGAGGGTCCATATACAATACCATTAATTATGGAATTAGGTCCCAAAAGACCATCCCTGTCATGGTTTTGGCGGCTTAGTTCCATAACAGTAGTGTATATGGACCCTCTTGGATAGTATGTCCGTAGTTGGACCCGGGGTTTCCGAAAATCCTACCATAACCTCCAAAAACCTACCTTTTAAGGACTTATATATGAAGAAGCTGTAATGAGGAACCCCAACAAGGTAGGTTACTTGGGATCCAGGTAGTCCTAGGATCCCAGACTAGACCCTAAACCCTAAACCCTAAACCCTAAACCCTAAACCCTAAACCCTAAACCCTACTCAAACGTTTTACTTTGCATGTCCTGAGAACGGAGATCCTTCTAAGTTGGTCCTGCAGAAGAGCCCTGCGAGTTGTGAGGCACAAAGCAAACCACGGCAGAGCTCTTCATCTGAAACACCAACATAAACGGTTTAGGGTTTAGGGTTCAGGGTTTAGGGTTTAGGGTTTAGGGTTTAGGGTTTAGGGTTTAGGTTTAGGCAAAACTTGGGCGGATGTACCCGAAGACATGAAACCCAAAGCCCTAAACCCCAAAGCCCTCAACCCTTAAGCCTTGAAAACCCTGAACCCCAACCCTCTTTGTGTAACCCAAAAGGTTCCAATGAGCCCCGTGTCGTGCGAGAAGCTGACTGCCGCCCGGGAGTGGCTAGAGGCGATGCCTGGTATTTGGGCCCTCAATTTTAGGGCTTAGTTTTGGGTTTAGGGTTTAGGGTTTGGGCCCTAAATTTTAGGGCTTAGGGTTTAGGGTTTCCTTGGGGTTTGGTTTTAAGCCATAGCAGTTGAGGCTTTCAGGTTGTGTGCTCCACTTTGGGGGGTTCTTCTTCTATCGACCCCAATATTTGTTGTAATCTACTACGGTTGGGAGGTTAGGATTTTAACTGAGACAGAGTTCAGAAAAGATTCCTGATTAATGACCCACAGCCCAAATACCCCGTAAGCCGTAAACCCTTAACAGGGTTCATGACGCTGTTAATTGGGTGTGCCCTGAATCTGGGGTACTCTTTTTGTTCTTTTTTTAAGGGTGTTACAATCGCAAGGACGATTTATGGGTTTAGGGTGGATGATATCTTGGACGCGTCTATAAGTGTCCCCCTCGTTGCAGCAACAGCCATCCATCTTGGACAAAAAGAACGATAACCCTAAACCCTAAAGCCTAAACCCTAAAACCCTAAACCCTGAAACCCTACACTGCTTGCTGGCCCTCCGGGTGCTTACCAAGAACATCAGCTCAACCCGAAACAGATAAAATCCTTGAGCCCAAAACCTCTCGGGTTGAGGGTTCAGGGTTTAGGGTTTAGGGTGCATGGTCTCACATGTGTGCCAATGATTCTATGAGGATGGCCCCCGCGACTCAATTCTGTGTGCAGGCATTCTTGCTGGACGGAAGCAGACGGTCTTTAGAGCGGAGTTTCAGGATGTTATTAATGGTGTTATTAATGTAGGGGCCTTAATAATTAGAAAAGCGTTTTGGTGGGTTCCTTATTATGATTTCAGTATACTATACCCCCAAAACCCTATTCTAATTATTAAGGCCCCTACATTCCGTCCATGGCGTCTCTTCCAAGGGTGGATATCTATTGCGACAACGAAGCGGCAACTGTTGGCCTCCGGTTTCAAATCTTATTAAGCTTGGATCACCCATGATGGTCGTGATTTGGTCCAGTGCTTGGCCGAAGGACCACAGCCACAGTCGTCCTGAAGATGGCCCTGCCCTGCCCTGCCCTGCCTGCCCTGGCCTGGTTTGGGCCCTCTGCCCCCTCTACCTTCTCTGCCTTCTCTGCCCTCTCCGCCTCTCTGCCCTCTGTTATGCCTGCCTGCCTGCCCTGCATGAACTAGAGCTTTCGCAACAGCCCCCGACTATCGCGCTCCGGCGGCCAAGCGTCATACTACGATGCACTCGAATAAAATTACACTGTCGACCCTAAACCCTAAACCCTCTACGGAAAGGGGGCGCATTGCATTTAAAATAGCCCTCTACTCAGAACCCTAAACCCTAAACCCAAAACCCTAAACCCTAAACCCTAAACCCACAACCCTAAAGCGTATCGAGAGCATTGTCCTGGTGGCCGCAGGAGTCGGCAAAGGCCTTTGGCTTGACGACAGATCTGCCGAGGCTTCGATTTCTGTCTTTAGGGCTTCGGGTTTAGGGTTTAGGGTTTTGAGGTTTAGGGTTTAGGGTTTTAGGGTTTAGGGTTTAGGGTTTTGAGGTTTAGGGTTTTAGGGTTAAGGGTTTAGGGAACATAGGGGCCGTAGAGACTGGAATAGGGGTGATTGCTTCCAGAATTGTAGGGTTTGTGCCGGCTCTTAGAAGCTTGCAACATAGGGGAAGCAACCTTCCCTAAACCCTAAACCCTAAACCGTCACAATTAGCATACCATAGGAGCCTAAATCATTACCAATACCATTCTGAAGGTTTCTTACTATAAGTGCAGTAGGTTATAGTATAAAGCCCGTTCCAAATTATAAAGGCCCAGGCTTTTCTAGTGTGTTTACATCGGGGACTTGAGGACTCGAAAAGAGCTGAGGAGTATGTGTCAGTATAAATAGCTACCTAAAACCCCAAAAGTGGGTAAAACAAATGGCCCCAAGACCTGTACAAGGCTGTCACCTTACATGCTTTTGAGGTCTGGGTAGGGGCTGAACTGGAATGTCATTGTTGGGTTCAGACCCTTCTATTTATTGATTGGATGGCTGCACGGGGGTATACAGGGAGATGATGCTTCTTGTAACAGGGTCTCATAGGGTTTGATAAGCCTTCTGCAGGGTTCTGTACGGGTTTTGGGCTTGGGCTTCGCAGATTAGGCCGTAAGTTTTGGTTTTTGCGATTCGTTAAGATGATACGCCTTTTGGGTACCCTAGTCAACTCTGTACGTGGATGGCCTTTTAGGCTTCCGGGGTATGCCCTGTTCGGAACTCTGATGGAGACTTGACCTGATGTCTTCAAGCGTCTTTTTGCATTAGTTATGCGGATGCGCAGCGCCACCCTAATCCCTTCACCGTTTCAACCTGCTAAACCATGCACTTTCAGCCGACAGACATCCTAACCTAAACCCTAAACCCTAAACCCTAAACCCTAAACCCTAAACCCTAAACCCTAAACCCTAAACCCTAAACCCTACAGCTGCTGATTTCATTTTTCGGGCCCGGGCTGGTTAGAGAAACCGGGCAGATGAGTCGTTGCCTCGGGGGTCTTCCCCGCAATGCCGGAAACCTGTTTAGGGTGTAGGGATTTAGGGTTT